TTTTTGATTACATTATAAAATTTTCATTTATTTTTTATAATATTAAATATTACGTATTACTTAATGTTTAATTGGAAATTAATTTAATTAAACAATAAATATAAATTAATTAATTTTAATATGAGCTGAATTCGAGATATTTTTTTTTTATTTTTTCATATTCAATTACCAACATGATTCTCGTCGGTAATTAGGAAAACAAAAATAAAAAAATGGCGCCTGAAAAAATTGGCGCGTAAAATTTTGGAGATCATTTAATCGAGGAGGGAAGATTTTTGTGTAGTTCAGACGTGGTTTTTGTCGGTGATTGACTGACATGGCTCAAACTGTGAAGTGGTTTTCCTGGGTACAGACGTGAGCTTCGTCGATGTTAGGCGCTGGGCACGAGGCTACTGTGTACATGCAGACGTGATGCTTGTCGGTGATTTACCGAAGTGGAACCCGAGATGTTTTCCGGTGAAGTGTTCCGGCTTCCTTTTTCCAAGATGTTGTTTGTCGGTAATTATGGGTTAGTTTACCGACGTGATTTCCATCTAGGTTGGTGTTTGAATCACCGAGCTCGGCTTCACCGAGCAACCCAACACCGACGTGATTCAAGTGGGTATAGAACTTCACCGACCAGATTCCCTCTTGTTTCCGACATGGCTGCTCGTCGGTGACACAGTGAATTCTTGTAGTGAGATTTGATCTATAATAAAGACTATTTTAAGAAAAATGACTGTTAGAAAACAGAGAAGAAGAATAATTTGAAGAAAGATTTATTGCTTTCTTGAATCATACTGTATGTATAATGACCTATATATAAGTGTTTACAAAGAGAATATTTTAAGGTATAAAGTATATAAAGAGAATATTCTAAAGTATAAAATATTTACAATAATTCTAAATATAATTATGTTAACATCTAATTAACATCCCCCCTCAAACTCAAGGTGGTTGTGATGAAACCAACTTGAGTTTGGAAAGAAGAGTATGAAAGCGTCCAGGAAAATGAGCCTTAGTAAAGAGATTTGCTGGTTGATCAGTGGAGCCAATGAAAACCAAATGAACAGTTCCTTGTGCAATATGATGGCGAATAAAGTGACAATCAACCTCAATGTGTTTAGTGCGTTCATGAAAGATATCATTATGAGCAATCTGCATAGCACTTTGATTATCACAATATAAATCAATAGAAGAAGGTTGAGGAATGCCCATATCTTCAAGAAGCCACCGCAATGAAAGAGGTTTTGATGTGGTATCCCCAAGAGCTCTATACTCAGCTTCAGTACTAGAGTGAGATGGAATAGTTTGTTTCTTACTTCGCCAAGGGATAAGAGAATTACTAAGGAAAAGATAGTAACCAGTGGTAGATCTACGATCAGAAGGATCACCAACCCAATCAGTATAAGAGTAAGCGCGAAGCATAGGGGAGGAGTTGGCAGAAAAATGGAGTCCATGAAATAATGTTCCCTTAACATAGCGAACAATGCAAAGTACTGCTGCACAATGAGTGGAGCGAGGAGCAGCCATAAACTGACTAACAATGTGAACTGCATATGCTATATCAGGGCATGTCGTAGTAAGATAAATCAAACTACCAACCAATTGCCGATAGCAAGTAGGATCAGAAAGTGGAGAGCCATCCATAGGTGTAAGCTTGACATTAGGTTCAAGAGGTGTAAAAACACTCTTACCATCATTGAGTTCAGCTTTAGAAACAAGATCAAAGGCATACTTTACTTGGGAAAATAGGTAGCCATCATCACAAGAGGTCACTTCAAGCCCTAAAAAATAGCTCAGAACACCAAGATCTTTCATCTCAAATTTCTGACTAAGAGATGGTTTTAACTCCTCAACACCTGCGATATTATCTCCAGTAATAATCATGTCATCAACATAAAGAAGTAAAAAAACCATACCCCAAGCAATCTTACGAATGAACAAAGCTGTATCATGTGGACTGGAAGTAAAACCAAACTCACTCACAGTGGCACTAAACTTTGCATACCAAGCTCGAGGGGATTACTTTAACCCTTATAATGCATGGCGCAATCGACATACCTTGTTTGGAGGATGGTTGAGCCCAGGAGGTGGTTTCATATAAACTTCTTCTTCTTGGTCACTATTAAGAAAAGCATTTTTCACATCCATCTAAAACAATTTCCATCTCCGCATAGCAGTGATAGCAAGCAAACTGCGCATAGATGTAAGACGAGCAACTGGAGCAAATGTCTCCTCATAGTTGATTCCATATTCCTGTGTAAAACCCTTGGCAACCAAGCGTGCCTTATAATGCTCCACAGAACCATTAGATCGTGTTTTGATCTTGTACACCCATTTACAGCCTATTAGAGATTTTTCAGCAAGGAGATCAACTAAATCCTTTATGAGTGTTCTCAAGCACTTGTAATTCATCTTGCATAGCTTGTTTCCAAAGAGGGTTAGAAGAGGCCTCTTGATAAGATTCGAGCTCATGTAACGAAGTAATAGCAGGAAAACAATGATAATCATGAAGGTAGTTGGGAGGGTTTCTTACCCGAATAAGATGACTCGAGGATGGGACAACAAGCTCATTTGTAGAATCAACAAGTGATATAGAAGAAGGCTCAAAATTATCTAATGCATTACCAACAGGTAGATCATCTTCTACAGAACTAGTTGGAGCATGTGGTGAGGCATTGTAGAGCTCATCAGATGTACCTGCAATAGAATCACTAGGAAATAGCTCAATAGAAGGATTAGTAAAAAATGGAGGTTGATGAGAGGATGACACTTTGAAGTTTGACAATGATGAGAACATAGTGTGTTCCCAAAAGACAACATGATGTGAAACTCGGAGTTTTTTTGACACAGGATCCCAACAACGATATCCTTTTTGTGTAATCCCATAATCCAAAAAACAACATAATCGAGTTCTAGGTTCTAACTTGTTATGTTCATGAGGTGGAAGAAGAACAAAACATGCACAACCAAAAACCTTAAGAAGATTTTAAGCAGGAAGAATACCATGTAGACGCTCGTATGGAGACTAGTTATTAAGGATTGATGATGGAATGCGATTAATAAGATAAATAGCTGTAAGAGCAGCTTCACCCCAAAATCGCTTTAGACAAGAAGATGAAATGAGCAGACCACGAACAGAATCAAGGATGTGTCTGTGTTTGCGTTCGGCTTACCTATTTTGTTTAGAAGTATAAGGACAAGATTGTTGTGGCAGTGTACCCTGCTCTTTCAAAAATGATTGAAGTTTAGTACCAAGATATTCAGTAGCATTGTCAGTTCTCAAAACTTTGATAATTTTAGAGAATTGAGTTTTGACCATGGTAGCAAAATCAATATAAATTTATGATAATTTAGAGCAACTTTTCATAAGGTATATCCAGGTAAAATGAGTATGATCATTAATAAATAACACAAAGTACCTGGAACCCCCCGTGGTGGGTGTAGGAGATGGACCCCAAACATCAGAATGCACGAGATCAAAAGGAGCAGTAGAATGAGAATGACTACTCGAAAAAGATAAAGCTGGTTGCTTTGCAGATTGACATGACATACAATGCACAGATTCATTCGGAATTGATCCTAATAAACCACGAGAGATAAGTGGACGAAATTTATCGACTGAGGTATGTCCAAGTCGTGAGTGCCACAAATGGAGAGGAGAAATGTTAGTAGCAACATAGGCTTGGAAGATTTGTTGATATGGAATTTGCAAAGACTCTAATTCAACAGCACAAAGTAGGGTTTGGATGATCGATCATTTGAAAATGATGGTGTATCCATTTTATTATCAGGAATATGCAAATAGTTGAGTTCAAACAAACGCCCCACCTTGCGACCATTTCCAAGAAGTTGTCATATTCGTGGGTCCTGCACACGCAACCATGAGCAGAAAATGTTACTTTAAGACCAAGATCACATAATTGACCGACAGATAGAAGATTATAACTAAGTTTTGGAACTAAAAGGGCATTTGGTAAAGTTAATGACTTTGTAGAAACATTACCAATGTGACTAACATTCATAAGGGAACCATCAGCAGAATAAATATCGGGAAAGGAATTATTAGGTGACATTGAAGAGAAATGAGTAGTAATTGAAGACATATTGTTACAACAACCAAAATCGAAATACCAAGGTTTGGTACCCAGAGCAGTAGATAAGGCAGTAGGACCATTAAAAAGATTTAATATCACCTGTTTTAGGGATTCAAGGTTGACATTAGGTTGTTTTATCACTTCTTTGGCAACCATAGCAGTAGTAGGATGGGTTACAATCCTTTCAAAACTCGTCATAGAATTAGTAAACTCACAATATTGAAAAACTCTAAAAATATGAAGAAATAGATGTCAAGATCGAAATAACAAACCAACAAAATCCTCAGAAAGGGCCTGAGAATCGAGGATAAATAATCTAATATGTAGGAGAAAAGATCCCAATGACAAAATTTCAGATCTGGAATGGAATTGAAAATCCAATTCCAAAAAAAACCCAACAGTGATGATATGAGAAAAGAACCAAAAGCTTATAACTCTGATACCATGTTAGAAAACAGAGAAGAAGAATAATTTGAAGAAAGGTTTATTGTTTTCTTGAATCATACTGTATGTACAATGACCTATATATAGGTGTTTACAAAGAGAATATTCTAAGGTATAAAATATACAAAGAGAATATTCTAAAATATAAAATATTTATAATAATTCTAAATATAATTGTGTTCACATTTTAACAATGAGAAATAAATAAAACACTATATATGAAATAATAGTACTTACCGTCACTGACAAATCGACTTGCAGAAGCAGAAGGGAGGAAGAAAAGTTAGACGTAAGAAAAACAAAAATGCAAGACAAGATATATAAATAATTGTATGTTAAGATGCTGAACAGGATGAAGACCAAAGCGCTATGATTCGGAACTCTTCGCCTCTCTCACAAAGAAACGCATATACAATCAGACAAGCATATCTTGACTATATAAAGATAAAGTGGAAGTGTAACTGTAAAGAGCAGGAAGTTATTATTAGGACAAGATTCTAATTCCATCGAACTTTAACATGGGATTTGGTCGGTAGGAAGGAAGTTTTATTTAAGAGAATGATGCTTTGAGCGCAGTATCAGCATTGTGGCCCTCGGATGAGTGAGACTTACTTTTGGTTGGATTTTAATTGTTCATGAATCTCACTGATCTAATGGTTTAGATTTTGTAGTTGGTGCAAGTTTAATTGTAAAACCATTTCCGAATATCTAATGAACTAGTTTTAGCTAATGCATTTGGGAACAACTAGTAAGGGGCATGCGTAAAGTAAAAACCTTATTTTATTTAATTTAAATACCCTTTTTGGTCCCTCTACTATAGGGAAAAGCCCATTTTTGGTCCCTGTATCGAAAAAATCCCTTTTTTAGTCCTTACTGTTCATAAATCCGGCCACTTTTTGGTCCTTCCGTTAATTTTGATTGTTAACTTAACTGAAATAGCTGATGTGGATATGCCAACATGTAAAAGATGCTTACGTGGACTCCATGTCATCCTCCACGTAAACTCCACGTCACCCTCCACGTGGACT